ACCGGCCCAACAGATCCACAGATGACGCAATCTCGATTGCGCTTCACACTGCCCTCACCCACCTGAATAAAAGGAATACCTATGTAAGAATGATGTTAATTGACTACAGCTCAGCATTCAACACCATAGCTCATCACCAAGCTCAGGACCCCTGGGACTGAACACCTCTCTCTGCAACTGGATCCTGGACTTCCTGACAGGCCGCCCCCAGGCCGTGAGGGTAGGCAACAACATATCCCCCACGTGCCCCTCAGGGGTGTGTGCCTAGTCCCCTCCTGTACTCCCTGTTCACCCACGACTGCAAGGCCACGCACGACTCCAACACCATCATCAAGTTTGCTGAAGACACGACGGTGGTAGATCTGATCCCTGATGACGAGGCAGCCTATAGGGATGTCAGAGACCTGGCAGTGTGGTGCCAGGACAACAACCTATCCCTCAACATCAGCAAGACAAAGGAGCTGATTGTGGACTACAGGAAATGGAGGGGCGAGCACGCCCCCGTCCACATCGACGGGGCTGTAGTTTAAAACGGTTCTACACTGCACCATTCAGAGCATCTTGACTGGCTGCATCACCACTTGGTACGGCAACTGAAAGTATGGCCCCAGTACATCACTGGGGCCGAGCTCCCTGTCATCCAAGACCTCTATACCAGGCGGGGTCAGAGGAACGCCCAAAAAATGGTCAAAGACTAGCCACCCAAGCCATAGACTGTTCCCTCTGCTACCGCATGGCAAGAGGAACCAGTGCACCAAGTCTGGAACCAACAGGACCCTGATGAACAGCTTCTATCCCCAGAGCTTGACTTTGGCCAGGGCTGTCCGGAGCGACTTAACGGCACCTGTAATTTTTGGGGAATTGTGTACCTGCTCCTCTATAATACAAAATAACTTATCGCCGGCCCAGATTCATACAGAGGCAAAAAAGTTTGATCAAAGCGGAATGAAGGCGGGATCTGCATTGAATAGCAATGAAGAGTGGGCATTCATTTCCTGATTCCACATTGTTCATGTTTATTTGCTGCTAAGTCTGTGAATCTGTGAGTGACAGTAGGCTGAATGAAGATTGCGCAGATTGAAAATGCGCTAGCCTGAATGCACATGATGCGCTGTTCCAAGTTGTCAAATTAGGATTTGTAAGGTCATGAAATGCCATGGAAATTAGTTTAATACATTTTGTTAATGTACAGTGCATTCAGAAAGTATTCAGACCCCTTGGCTTTTTCCACTTTGTTACATTACAGCCTTATTCTAAAATTGATTAAATTGTTTTTTTCCCCTCAGTCTACACACAATACCCCATAATGACAGAACAAAAACAGTTTATTTTCTATTTTTGGTAATTTATTAAGAAAAAAAAAAAAAAAAAAATCACATTTACATAAGTATACAGACCATTTACTCAGTACTTTGTTGAAACACCCTTGGCAGCGATTACAGCCGCGAGTCTTCTTAGGTATGACGCTACAGGCTTAGCACACCTGTATTTGGGGAGTTCCTCCCATTCTTCTCTGCAGATCCTCTCAAGCTCTGTCAGGTTGGATGGGGAACGTCGCTGCACAGCTATTTTCAGGTCTCTCCAGAGATGTTCGATTGGGTTCAAGTCCGGGCTCTGGCTGGGCCACTCAAGAACATTCAGAGACTTGTCCCGAAGCCACTCCTGTTCAATGTGATTCCATCGCATTTTCAACTCCACCAATAGTATTGTCACAAAAACTGTTGCGTTACAGTGAGGGAAAAAAGGTTTTGATCCCCTGCTGATTTTGTACGTTTGCCCACTGACAAAGAAATTATCAGTCTATAATTTTAAATGGTAGGTTTATTTGAACAGTGAGAGACAGAATAACAACAAAAACATCCAGAAAAACGAATGTCAAAAATGTTATAAATTGATTTGACCCCTCTGCAAAACATGACTTAGTACTTGGTGGCAAAAACCTTGTTGGCAATCACAGAGGTCAGACGTTTCTTGTAGTTGGCCACCAGATTTGCACACATCTCAGGAGGGATTTTGTCCCACTCCTCTTTGCAGATCTTCTCCAAGTCATTAAGGTTGAGGCTGACGTTTGGCAACTCGAACCTTCAGCTCACTCCACAGATGTTCTATGGGATTAAGGTCTGGAGACTGGCTAGGCCACTCCAGGACCTTAATGTGCTTCTTCTTGAGCCACTCCTTTGTTGCCTTGGCCGTGTGTTTTGGGTCATTGTCATGCTGGAATACCCATCCAAGACCCATTGTCAATGCCCTGGCTGAGGGAAGGAGATCCTCACCCAAGATTTGATGGTACATGGCCCCGTCCATCGTCCCTTTGATGCGGTGAAGTTGTCCTGTCCCCTTAGCAGAAAAACACCCCCAAAGCATAATGTTTCCACCTCCATGTTTGACGGTGGGGATGGTGTTCTTGGGGTCATAGGCAGCATTCCTCCTCCTCCAAACACGGCGAGTTGAGTTGATGCCAAAGAGCTCGATTTTGATCTCATCTGACCACAACACTTTCACCCAGTTCTCCTCTGAATCATTCAGATGTTCATTGGCAAACTTCAGACGGCCCTGTATATGTGCTTTCTTGAGCAGGGGGACCTTGCGGGCGCTGCAGGATTTCAGTCCTTCACGGTGTAGGTTGTTACCAATTGTTTTCTTGGTGACTATGGTCCCAGCTGCCTTGAGATCATTGACAAGATCCTCCCTTGTAGTTCTGGGCTGATTCCTCACCGTTCTCATGATCATTGCAACTCCATGAGGTGAGATCTTGCATGGAGCCCCAGGCCGAGGGAGATTGACAGTTATTTTGTGTTTCTTCAATTTACGAATAATCGCACCAACTGTTGTCACCTTCTCACCAAGCTGCTTGGCGATGGTCTTGTAGCTCATTCCAGCCTTGTGTAGGTCTACAATCTTGTCCCTGACATCCTTGGAGAGCTCTTTGGTCTTGGCCATGGTGGAGAGTTTGGAATCTGATTGATTGATTGCTTCTGTGGACAGGTGTCTTGTATACACGTAACAAGCTTAGATTAGGAGCACTCCCTTTAAGAGAGTGCTCCTAATCTCAGCTCATTACCTGTATAAAAGAAACCCGGGAGCCAGAAATCTTTCTGATTGAGAGGGGGTCAAATACTTATTTCCCTCATTAAAATGCAAATACATTTATTACATTTTTGACATGTGTTTTTCTGGATGTTTTTGTTGTTATTCTGTCTCTCACTGTTCAAATAAACCTACCATTAAAATTATAGACTGATCATTTCTTTGTCAGTGGGCAAACGTACAAAATCAGCAGGGGATCAAATACTTTTTCCCCTCACTGTATATAGCAAATGTGCCTACTCTGGTCTTTGCACCTGCAAACCAGCCAACAGCTCGCAGATACAGTGTGGGTAGGCTATCTACATGAAGATATTATTATGGATAAGAGCAAGAATATTTTTATTTGTCAAACGTCAGTCAAGCATCGATCATGTCACCAGAATAAGACCCTCAATATTTATTGGAAAGCAGCATCAAGCTCATCACTGTGCACTTTCACCACCCTGTGAAGTTCATCATAACTTATTTCATCTGTAGCCTAATAAACTGTATGGTTTCCCAAGTGGGAGGACCACACACCATATCATCGCGTGACTCCAAATTTACTTTGATATATGATGGTTATTATATCAATATTTGCACAAAGGCGTTTCCAACGCACAACACATTTTATAGACACAAAAAGATCCCACCATGTCAAACAAACAAATTATCTGTCAGCATTTATAAAATTACACCGAAACTTCCCGTTTCCATCAGCTGTCGTGATTTGTTTTTTTTATACGATATTACTTTACTCACATAAAAACTGTGGATGGAAACGTGGTTAATGTTGGCTTCATTTTTTATTAATCTACCAATAGGTGCCCTTCTTTGCGAACCATTGGTCTTCGTGGTTAAATCTGTGCTTGAAATTCACTGCTCAACTGAGGGACCTTACAGATCAATTTATGGGGTACAGAGATGAGGTAATCATTAAAGAAATCATGTTAAACACTATTATTGCACACAGAGTGGGTCCATGCAACATATTATGTGACTTGTCAAGCACATGTTTACTCCTGAACGTATTTAGGCTTGCCATAACAAAAAGGTTGAATACTTATTGACTCAAGACGTTTCAGCTTTTTATTTTTAATGAATTTGTAAACATGCCAAAAAAACATAATTCCACTTTGACATTATGGGATATTGTGATTAGATCAGTGACACATTTGAATACATTTTAAATTCAGGCTGTAACAACAAAATAAGGAAAAGGTCAAGGGGTGTGAATACTTTCTGAAGGCTCTGTAAAACACAAAGGACTACAGCTTTAAAACACCACTTTACACATTGAGCAGGCAAGGTGCTTTGGGGAGGTATGGTGCATCTAGAGGTCAAAACATTGACAGCCCTCCACTTCATTGCCACCATAGTTTTTACCCTAGCTTTAAACTCATTCAAAGAGACAAGCTCCTGTAATTGCATGCCATTTTGTAGCTTGTTCCAAGTGTAAGGGGCAGGCACAGTCAACAAAATACAGTCATGTGAGCGTAGGCGATTATTGTCAATTGTCTGCTAGACAATGTAGGTACACAGATAAAATGGGAGATGTCTGTGGAAGGCCAGCCCACTCTCATATAGAGGGTACAGTAATGGGTGAGAGCTTTGGAGTTCGTAACAAACCTCAGCTCCCCATGGAACCATAATAGACCATTTGATTACCAGGGAATTATTTTGTGTTTTTGTCTAAAGGTTGTGTCTAATCCATATTGTGCTATAAGCCATTAAGCATAAAAATGTATAACTAGTGCCATATCTTTGATGAAAATCTTGTAGGCTTGAAAACACTGAAAGACATCGTAGCCCATTGATTGTCACAGTAACTCCACTGTTGCATAGGGCAACCCCCACCTTCTGTTTACTTTCCCCTTCAATAACCTCAGTTCACCATACGTCCGTCAAACAACATTCCCATAACGTTCACTAACCTTGACCAGGTTGTTGGTGAACCAGAACACCCCTCCCGTGTGCAGCAGGCTCTCGAAGAGGTGCAGCGCGTGGCTGTCCACCCAGCCCTTCCATAGTATCGAGCGGAACTGCTTTCTGAGGGCTTCGTGGATGGGCTCCTTGGCCGGGAGCAGGTTGCGGTAGGGGATGGGCTCCTGGCCCTCGATTGGCGGCCGCAGGGCCAGGCCTGTCTGCTGGAACACGTCAGCACACATGTGCTCCAGGATGGAACTCATGATCACCACCCTGTGGGAGGGAGGGAGAGAGGAAGGGTTAATGAACATGTCTTGAGCTTACATGATTTTCAGTCTGGCTACTATACACTGGTGGTGAATTATGTGAGCAGGGTTGGGGAGTAACGGATGACATGTCATCTGTTACATGTAAAGGATTACAACAACAAAAAACGACCTGTAATCCGTTACGTTACCAGCAAAAATTTGTAATCAGATTAACTAGATGATTACTTAGAGGATTACTTTTAAATTCCGAAAGGATGCTTGTGGAAAAAAAAAAATCGGACACTTCTCTGTTTTCTCAATGACATTCAAATCAGCATTGAAAAAAGGCGCAAGTTTAAGTTTGTTCCACCTCAGCGAGTCTGACCACAAGTTAGAGACCACTATGATGACACACCAAATGGGTTTGATGGATCGCGGGAAAATAGCAGGAATAGGCTTTTGTATGCTACAGTCCAAGCTATGTCTTCCAATGGTGCGACTGCTGTCGGCATCCAAAGATTATGCAATTTGACTAAACGCTTGAGGTAAGGATGACAGCAGTGGTGTAGCCTACGGCGATACGGATATCACTTATTATTGATATCTACATAGCGCATTGATGTGAATCACACTGCTGCGCTCTCATTTAGCTATTTGCGCCTTAGGGATTGTGGTTGTTGTGGATGGCTGTTTACGAATCTAAATGTGTATTTGAACCCAATAATGGTTGAATTCAAGAAGTTTAAGCTGCCTATCAATCATTGTTTTTGAAACCAGTGGACAGCCAGTGAAAAATGCGCTCTTGCAACAGCTGCATAGTGTGGATCCCATCCTATGGAATACACACAGTACCAGTCAAAAGTTTGGACACACCTACTCATTCAAGGGGTTTTCTTTATTTTTTACTATTTTCTACATTGTAGACTAATAGTGAAGACATCAAAACTATGAAATAACACATATGGAATCATGTAGTAACCAAAAAAGTGTTCAACAAATCAAAATATATTTTATATTTGAGATTCTTCAAAGTAGCCATCCTTTGCCTTGATGACAGCTTTGCACACTCTTGGCATTCTCTCAACCAGCTTCACCTGGAATGCTTTTCCAACAGTCTTGAAGGAGTTCCCACATGTGAGCGTTTGTTGGCTGCTTTTCCTTCACTCTGCGGTCCAACTCATCCCAAACCATCTCAATTGGGTTGAGGTCGGGTGATTGTGGAGGCCAGGTAATCTGATGCAGCACTCCATCACTCTCCTTATTGGTCAAATAGCCCTTACACAGCCTGGAGGTGTGTTGGGTCATTGTCCTGTTGAAAAACAAATGATAGTCCCACCAAGCGCAAACCAGATGGGATGGCGTATCGCTGCAGAATGCTGTGGTAGCCATGCTAGTCAAGTGTGCCTTGAATTCTAAATAAATCACAGACAGTATCAACAGCAAAGCACCCCCACACCTCCTCCTCCATGCTTCACGGTGGGAACCACACATGCGGAGATCCTCCGTTCACCTACTCTGTGTCTCACAAAGACACAGCGGTTTGAACCAAAAATCTCAAATTTGGATTAATTTGTTTTTTGGCCCAAGCAAGTCTCTTCTTCTTATTGGTGTCCTTTAGTAGTGGTTTCTTTGCAGCAATTGGACCATGAAGGCCTGATTCACGCAGTCTCTGAACAGTTGATGTTGAGATGTGTCTGTTACTTGAACTCTGTGAAGCATTTATTTGGGCTGCAATCTGAGGTGCAGTTAACTCTAATGAACTTATCCTCTGCAGCAGAGGTAACTCTGGGTCTTCCTTTCCTGTGGCGGTCCTCATGAGAGCCAGTTTCATCATAGCGCTTGATGGTTTTTGCAACTGCACTTGAAGAAACATTCAAAGTTCTCTAAATGTTCTGGATTGACTGACCTTCATGTCTTAAAGTAATGATGGACTGTCATTTCTCTTTGCTTATTTGAGCTGCTCTTGCCATAATATGGACTTGGTCTTTTACCAAATAGGGCTATCTTCTGTATACCCCCCCTACCTTGTCACAACACAACTGATTGGCTCAAACGCATTAAGAAGGAAAGAAATTCCACAAATTAACAAGGCACACCTGTTAATTGAAATGCATTCCAGGTGCCTACTTCATGAATCTGGTTGAGAGAATGCCAAGAGTGTGCAAAGCTGTCATTAAGGCAAAGGGTGGCTACTTTGAATAATCTCAAATATAAAATATACTTTGATTTGTTTAACACTTGTTTGGTAACTATATGATTCCATGTGTGTTATTTCATAGTGTTGATGTCTTCACTATTATTCTACAATGTAAAAAATAGTAAAAATAAAGAAAAACCCTGGAATGAGTAGGTGTGTCCAAACTTTTGACTGGTAGTGTATATATATATATATCCATTGATTCTTGAAGAATATAACTTATAAATGCCTCACCAGCTTAGTTCAACTGTCACACTCCATGAGAACCCAAAATATAAGCTTGTTTTTATCCAATGTTTGTAAACATTGTAAATATAAACAAACACTGTATAGCGCCATAACATGGTTAAAACAGTAATTTTGATATCATGGATGGTCAGTCCTTACATCCATAGCTCTGTCTATTAATCTGAGAGTGGTTACATTTCTCCAGGCCCATCCCTCAGCGTTTTACCAAAACAGAGGCAGGGCACCCGTTTGGTTATTGTTTCATCTGTGGATTTGCCCTTTAAACAGCTGCATATTATCAAGATATCAAAGTGTCACCAACAAAAAGGTAAACAATAGGCATATAGCAAATGGAATTCATTTTTCACATGTAAATAGCACTTTTCAGTAGTGCTCAAAGCATGCCATTCCATGGTCGCAGCATTTATTTTTCAACTCGATTCAATGAGCCAATCAGTCCTCCATGACAACAAAATCATAAACAACAGAGTAGGGCTGGCTAATAAGTCCTTCGTTTTGGGGTTATGCTCATGTAAAACAATTTGGCTAATCTATACTTCCATGGGTTCGATTCCCACGGGGGACCAGTATGAAAAATGTATGCACTCACTAACTAAGTCGCTCTGGATAAGAGCTTCTGCTAAATGACTAAAATGTCAAATATTTCCAAGTCCTATTCTTGAAGATCAAGAAGTATAACATTTATTGGAATGACTGGAATTCTGATAGACTTTGGTTTTTAATGTAAAGATATAATTTAATCGTATATTATATGTAGTAGAACGTGATGGGTTAGAAGAAGCCTACATAACCAACCCATAAAGTAAAACTTAACATCCATATATGGCCAGCTACAGTGGGGGAAAAAAGTATTTAGTCAGCCACCAATTGTGCAAGTTCTCCCACTTAAAAAGATGAGAGAGGCCTGTAATTTTCATCATAGGTACACGTCAACTATGACAGACAAAATAAGAAAAAAAATCCAGAAAATCACATTGTAGGATTTTTAATGAATTTATTTGCAAATTATGGTGGAAAATAAGTATTTGGTCAATAACAAAAGTTTCTCAATACTTTGTTATATACCCTTTGTTGGCAATGACACAGGTCAAAAGTTTTCTGTAAGTCTTCACAATGTTTTCACACACTGTTGCTGGTATTTTGGCCCATTCCTCCATGCAGATCTCCTCTAGAGCAGTGATGTTTTGGGGCTGTCGCTGGGCAACACGGACTTTCAACTCCCTCCAAAGATTTTCTATGGGGTTGAGATCAGGAGACTGGCTAGGCCACTCCAGGACCTTGAAATGCTTCTTACGAAGCCACTCCTTCGTTGCCCGGGCGGTGTGTTTGGGATCATTGTCATGCTGAAAGACCCAGCCACGTTTCATCTTCAATGCCCTTGCTGATGGAAGGAGGTTTTCACTCAAAATCTCACGATACATGGCCCCATTCATTCTTTCCTTTACACGGATCAGTCGTCCTGGTCCCTTTGCAGAAAAACAGCCCCAAAGCATGATGTTTCCACCCCCATACTTCACAGTAGGTATGGTGTTCTTTGGATGCAACTCAGCATTCTTTGTCCTCCAAACAAACGAGTTGAGTTTTTACCAAAACTTTCTATTTTGGTTTCAGCTGACCATATGACATTCTCCCAATCCTCTTCTGGATCATCCAAATGCACTCTAGCAAACTTTAGACGGGCCTGGACATGTACTGGCTTAAGCAGGCGGACACGTCTTGCACTGCAGGATTTGAGTCCCTGGTGGCGTAGTGTGTTACTGATGGTAGGCTTTGTTACTTTGGTCCCAGCTCTCTGCAGGTCATTCACTAGGTCCCCCCGTGTGGTTCTGGGATTTTTGCTCACCGTTCTTGTGATCATTTTGACCCTACGGGGTGAGATCTTGCGTGGAGCCCCAGATCGAGGGAGATTATCAGTGGTCTTGTATGTCTTCCATTTCCTAATAATTGCTCCCACAGTTGATTTCTTCAAACCAAACTGCTTACCTATTGCAGATGCAGTCTTCCCAGCCTGGTGCAGGTCTACAATTTTGTTTCTGGTGTCCTTTGTCAGCTCTTTGGTCTTGGCCATAGTGGAGTTTGGAGTGTGACTGTTTGAGGTTGTGGACAGGTGTCTTTTATACTGATAACAAGTTCAAACAGATGCCATTAATACAGGTAACGAGTGGAGGACAGAGGAGCCTCTTAAAGAATAAGTTACAGGTCTGTGAGAGCCAGAAATCTTGCTTGTTTGTAGGTGACCAAATACTTATTTTCCACCATAATTTGCAAATAAATTCATAAAAAATCCTACAATGTGATTTTCTGGATTTTTTTTCTCAATTTGTCTTTCATAGTTGACGTGTACCTATGATGAAAATTACAGGCCTCTCTCATCTTTTTAAGTGGGAGAACTTGCACAAATAGTGGCTGACTAAATACTTTTTTTCCCCACTGTCTGTAAACTTAAACATTGATTTATCCTGCAATAGATGTGGTTCAATTGGTAACATACATTTTTGTCTTCTAATGCCTCTTAAGGGGAAAGTAATCTAAAAGTAACAGACTGTAATCAGATTTCGTTACTGAGTTTGGGCAGCCCAAAAGTTACGTTACTGATCACAATTTTGGACAGGTAACTAGTAACTGTAACGGATTACATTTAGAAAGTAACCTACCCAACCCTGTATGTGACTTACCTGGTTAAGATGCGAAGCGGTTTGAACACTACGGAAGGCGCTATATAAATAATTGCACCATCTAAAATCGCTGTGAAATATATTTTTGATTTGAAAAACAAATGTTTTTACAGGTATTTGAAGCTGGTGGACCAAAACGAATGTTACTTTTGGTTTTGGTCCACCAGCTTCAAACTGCGGTTTTGGTCCACCAGCTTCAAACAGATGTAAAAACAATATTTTTTGTTATTGAAAATATATTTCACAACGATTTTGATCGTACAATAATTCCCTACACGATTCAGTGCTTGTTTTCTCACATAAACTGAAATTGAGCGAACAGTGTAGAATTTTAGCAAGCAGGAAATTAGCAATTTCCACTACATAACACAGCCACAAAGTCAGAACAGATTTCCCAGTTTGATGGGCTCCCGAGTGGCGCAGTGGTCTAAGGCACTGCATTGTGCTAGCTGTGCTACTAGAGATCCTGGTTCGAATCCAGGCTCTGTCGTAGCCGGCCGTGACCGGGAGACCCATGGGGCGGCGCACAATTGGCCCAGCGTCGTCCAGGGTAGGGGAGTGAATGGCCGGCAGGGATGTAGCTCAGTTGGTAGAGCATGGCGTTTGCAACGCCAGGGTTGTGGGTTCGTTTCCCACAGGGGGACAGTATAAAAATGAAAAAAAAGAATGTATGTACTCACTAACTGTAAGTCGCTCTGGATAAGGGTGTCTGCTAAATGACTTTAAAAAAAAATTATAAATAAAAAATAACAGATTCCGCTCCGGCAGGAAAGATCAATAGGCGAATATCACAGCCAATCAGAACACTGGCGGGTACGTAATACTGTGAAACACTATCATTCCATTATTAGCGCCAGATATATATTTTTGAAATAATGCAAAAATTCAAAAAATGTGTAGCACCTTGGAGACATAATGCGCAGTTTGAGCTACTCCAGGAAGTGACATTGCAGGCTAGCTCAGTGCTGCCTCCTCTCATTGAGTAACTCAAGTCGAAGGCCGACCGGTGTACTGCAGGCTGCCATTAGCAACTAAATGATCCTTCTGTGTGCGATTTTTTGTATAATCGATTCAAGGACATACATCCGGTGTATTAGAAGCAATTATTGGTACCATGATTGTCTTCAATTATGTATTATTTTCACACGAAGATTGCAATTTTTCAGTTCACTATAATGGGCAAACAATGCCTGCAGTACCGCGGTCGGCCTTGAACTTCCATGGCTTCAATGAGAGGGGGCTGTCATTCTCCCCTGGTGTAAACAACTAGAATGTGGCTGGTTGATAAGACATCTGCTCAGCGGCTAAACAATAAGGCTAATGCTCTGGTTGTTAAACCATTGTACAGCGGCAGTGAACGTGTAGAGCGAGCTGTATGTGTGTGTCAGACCTGGGTTCAAATACTATTTAAAAGATCTCAATTACTTTCACATACATTTTGAAGTATTCAGATATGTTTAATTTGAATAGACAAATATATAGTTGAATATTGGAATGTATTTAGAAATACACTTGGAAAGTATTGGCATGTATTTGAAAATACTCAAATAAACTGACTCAAATACACTCCTATGCATTTAACCCAGGTACTATTGAAAATACTCAAATACACAGAAAATAAGTATTAAATAATAATCAAATACACATGTATTTGAGCCCAGGTCTTGTGTGTGTGTACCGAGCATCCATCCGTGTGTGCGTATGTGTACCGTTCGTTGTAGAACTGCAGTGTGTTCTCCGCGTACAGCGGGGTCATGAGCTGACGGATCATGGTCTGGGGCTTCTCCCTCTCGTCCAGCCCCAGCATCCTCACATGGGCTACCAGCCAGGCCACAGCACAGATAGCCATGCTGCACACCTTGCCCTTAATATTGTCTGTTATCTTCTACACTCAGGAAGGGGGTGGGGGAGAGGGCCAGAGGGGGAGGGGGAGAGAGGGGGAGGGGAGGGGAGAAAAGGGGAGGGGGAGAGGAGGGGAGAAAAGGGGGGAGGGGAGGGGAGAAAAGAAGAGGGGAAGATGACGTGTGAACTCTGAACATGCTTCCAGGCCGCTCATTCGACAAATGAATGAACTTTATGAATGGTTTAAATGAGGAAGTGACAAAAAATAACACACACGCTACCTCAAATCATGATGCCAGCAGAGTCATACGCTATGACCACTCATTTTCCCTATGGTAAGAGCAAGTTCACTTCTGTGATTCAACGGTTGACCGTCGACATGGTTTCGAGAGCAAAGTAGGCCAAAATAGACCATGACACATAATACTGGAATCACCTGCACGGCCTCCACAGACAGCACGCCGTTCTCCCAGGCGTTCAACACCTCCAAGATAGCCGCAGGTGTGCTGAGGCAGATCTCGTGCCACTTCATCTGACTGACACACACAGCGGAACAAAACAATCAGTACAGCTTCAGGAAAACAATGAGTCATGCCAATAGCTAGATTTCTACGAGGGAAAAGAGAAGGTGCAGAAAGGAATCACTGGTTTAAATTACGCTCATAAAAAAGAGTTTGAACATGGGGAACAACATTTTAACCATAGTCTGGGCTTCTTCCTTCCTCCTTATTCACCCAGCAGCTGAGAAACACTGAATGCCAGTCTGATTCTGACCCTAGAGTGAAAGATGACTCACACTAGCTTCATCTCAGTGGCGTTGTTGAGGAGGGCCACCAGGCTCTCCACCTTGCCAGACTCCGGCCTAAAGCAGGGGTGGTCTGGGTTCAGGGTCTTGCCCTCCTCCGGCATGCAGGTCTGCAGCCACGTCTCAAAGAACGGGGTCTCCCCCGAGGGGCTGGGGTCCGACAGGATCACCTGGAGGGGTCACAACGTAGATTGATATCATATAATAATATGGAGTGGGGGACATAACATCCCTTTATATGAGGACAAGGTTTTGACCATGACACTTATGTTACATGAATCATACTACACATCATATAAATGTGGCAAAGACACTTGCAGCTGTGCCACTCAGATAGCACAGGCAGAAAGCTATTGGGTGTTTGGCCACCTAGTGGTGGTGTGCTGAAAGAGCAGGACAATGATGCAAACTCTTCAGGAAAAGTGTAATTGTTATTTGGCATGGACAGGAGGGACCTGATCCTACATACTTACCTACATCCCTATGATAGATAGCATTAGTACTAGGTGTGAGACCAACCTCTGATCCGTAGGTCTGCACCACGTGACATAGCATGAGGAAGGATATGTCGAACAGCAGGGCTCGCACAGAGGCCGACTTGGCTGCAACGAGATAGAACAAATAGTCACCAAAAAATTTGAAGATTATGTTGAATACTGTTTTATGCAATAGAATAGGGTTCTTAGAAACTCTCTCTTCTGTGTCTGTGTGAACTGAGATGAGCCTCTGAAGCTGGGCCTGGCAGTTGATTTAGGGATGGCTAGGTGATAAAACCAACAGCCACATTCCATTTCATGATTAATGGTGTGTGAGAGGGAGATGTCTCTGACCTGACTGAGCCTGCATTTTCATAGACTGAATTTGTGATTGTGTAATGTAAGGTACCAGGGAGAGATGGCTCGGGTATGGATAATGTTAGTAAGAACCTTGTCTTGGGGTCCAAACCCTGGTTTCCACACAATGAGAACAGTCTTCAAAGCAGATACTGTCTGCTGTGAATTATTCATGTCTTTCATACAAATCCTAACCTTTTGACCCATTCCACACATCTGCTGTTAGTCATGTAGACTGAGACAGTGTATCTTTACTAAAAATATATTTGTATTGTCTGTATGTCAGAGTTCTCAACCCAACAGTCAAGAGTGTTGGGTCGACCAGCCTCACTTACTACCTTATTAATACGTTTTGAATAAAGTAATATCCTGATTGGTGATTGACATTGTCTCTCCTCATTATTGATTAGAATTTCCACGACAAATGTCAATATCAAATCTGTTTCAACAAGTCCCACACTCAGCAAGTCCCCAACATTCATGTAAAATCTCATTCAAAAAGTCCCATACTCAGTAACACTGGAACTGTCAGACATTCTTAACTCATGTACTCACATCCTTCTCCACTGATGTGCTTCGGAAACTCATTCAGCCTGAAGAGCAAAGACAGAGCATCAATAAATAATAATAACATTATGTCCCTCTTACATCATTTGGACTTTCCCATTTGGCCCTTAAAGCCACAATCGGTCATTTGTTTCTCAACCAAAAAGGCAGCCCCACCACTTGGTTTTCTATTAAGCTGAGGAATGGGGCTGGAGTAACCAATACCAAATTACAGATTGTATCTTTAAGACTCTCCACAGTAACATAGTTTGAGTCTGTCAATACAGTGGATTGAACTGTCCTAATGGACTTTAATATAATACATGTCAATGGCTTGATGTCTGTCTCACTTGATGAACTTCCGGGCGAAGGATTTGAGTTTTCCCGTGGCTGCGGCTGCAGCCAGGAGGAGGTCCAGGCTCTTTCCAGACAGCATGTGTCCCAGCACACCCAGCAGGCCCTCTGGAGACTTGGAGTGGTCTGCGTCCACCGTCTAACACAACAGGGGAAGACAGATACAGTGATGACAGTGTGATATGGCTTTAGGACGAGGTGAACTAACAGTCTTATCATCAGTACTAATCCAGGGATATAGTAGCGGGTAAAAGTCAGCTTCGTGGTCATTAGGATACACCGTAGCAAAACATTTAGCAATGAACCTCCTCTTGAACAACATGACCCTGCTGACTGTAAGGCTAGGTTGGCATTGGGAGAAGGAGGACCTTGAGGATGTTGGTGACGGTGGGCTCGGCTCGCAGGATGAGGCCTGGGTTGGGCTGGATGTTGGCATTTTCTGCAGTCTTCAGCCGTGGGGCGTACTCCCTGTCCTCACCCCTGAAGAAAAGGTTACACACGAGAGAGAGCGAGAGGAGCGAGACTGACAGACAGACAGTGATTTAGTGAGAGGAAAGAGTGAAAGGAGGAGAGACAGAATGAAAGATATTAGCGCCAAACTTGATGTATTTATACTGTATCATTCTCTTCCAGTGATGTTACACATCTGAAGGGGCAGGATGGCTACCTGTACGTACCGTTTAGAAGTGAGGTTGGTCGTGTTAGAGTCCGATAGGAGACCCAGCTTATTGCACTCCTGCAGTAGCATGCTTAGACAGTCGCAGCTGTAAAAAAAGAGACATGGAGTGTTGGGCCAGTAACTGAAAGATCGCTAGTTCTAATCCCCGAGCCGGCAAGGTGGAAAAATCTGCTGTTTTGCCCTTGAGCAAGGCAGTTAACCCCCAACAACAACTGCTCCCCGGGCGCCGTGGACATTGATTAAGGCAGCCCCACCGTACCTCTCTGATTCGGAGGGGTTGGGTTAATTGCGGAAGACACATTTCGGTTGAATGCATTCAGTTGTGCAGCTGGCAAGGTATCCCCTTTCCCTTGATTATCCCTTTTATACCATGGCTATAATTAAACACATTTGCCACTAGAAATGTGTTCAACATCCACTGAAGTAGCTAGCAAGTTTACTAGATAGCTACAGTAGTTGCCTTGGCAACCAAACAAACAGACTTGCTAGTTTAGCCACAGATAGAACAATGAGACATATTTCACCAGAGGTGTAAATGTGAAGCATCCGCTTGGCGTTTCCACTCACTACCAAATATGGTAGTGAGAGGAAGCTTCCTCTCATTTTGTCATTGATTAAATATTTTCTCTCAATACAATTTTCTGTTCCCAAAACGACTATATGTATGGACAAAGTTTTGTATAGTTTCCCCTTTGTAAAAGTTTTTAAAAATTGCGTTGTTTAGGTGTGCAATGGAAAATTGAGTTATTGCACTTCACAGAGTAGGCGTTCCCTAACGGAAATAGGCAGACGTATGCTAGAACGTGCCAATAGGATCTCACTAACTCGTGCTTAGCTCTGCCCACCTCATTGGAAATGACAGGCTGTGGTCTCTTGGTCTAGTTATACAATTATTTGGTTTAGCTAACCAAACCATCAGTCCTAGCTTGCTATTATGAAAATAGAATTCAACAATGTTTTCAATTCGACTTTTGCTTTCAAAAGCAGCTCAAACATAGAACATGTAAGCATTAACTATAGCCATTGAATCCTACCGTGCTGATATACCGTGCGTTATAGGGAAATAATGCACGCTCTAGCATGCCCTTCAAGCCAATCAGAAACGAGTATTCAACAATGCCATTGTATAAAACATGATAATATGCTTCTTATGTTCTGTTTTTCGTTTTCACTCACTTGCATCGCTGGTCAGCCTTGTCCAGTAGTGGTGTGAGCTTCAGCAGGTACTCAAAGGCAATGTTCACGTCGTCCATGAAGTCCTGCTGCAGATTGACACAGAGACTAGACCAGCAGTATTCACTATCCTACATTCATATCATTCAGTGGTGATTGAGTAATTTTACCAATGTATTTATTACTGGTAAATAAACTTGAAACAGACATTATAACCATTGATTGTTATGGATGTCAAGAGAATAACTCAGTACTATACCTGTACCTTCTCTCCCTGGGGATACTTCTTCAGCCTGAGGAGAACCTGGGGGATCTAGAGATGAGAGGAGAGATGGTAAGATGGTGACAATTCATCGGCTCCAATGAAAAGAAAACATTCACTAACTATCCAGTACCTTGAGGAACGTGAAGGCGGTCCACTTAAGTTCTTCAGTGCCCTCTGGTGACTCAATGAGGCCAGTGAAACATGCCTTCCAGATCTCCAACACAAAGAGTGGCGCAGGGATACGCTGCACAGGGGAACGCACAGGGGAACGCACCAGGGTTGGGGGGGTTGGGTCAATATTCAATTTCAAATCAGTCAATTCAGGAAGTAAACTGAATTACAATTTCCCTCAACTAAAAGTGAAACTCGCATTGCATACGTTAACTCTAGACCAGGGGTTCTTAAACTTTTTCAGCTCGAGATGCAAATTATAAGTAGACCGTCCTCCCGTGACCCAAATTAAGAAGAAATAGTGTGTGATTATAGATTTATTCTCATAACTCGTGATCCACCTCTCACATGCCCAGGGCCCACTTTGGTTCCAGACACATATTTAAGAAACCCTGCTCTAGACCAATCAAGGCTCACCTGCATCCTCTTGATCATCATCAGCTGTTCCACCAGTGGCTGGGTCTCGCCCGTCAGGTTCATGGTTCCTTCCAGCATGATGAAGGCGTGGACCGAAGGGAACGACGAGTGGTGCAGGGGGTCTGACTGTTCCGACAGCATCGTAGGAATACTGAAGGGGAAGATAGGTCAGATTATTATAAAAAAACAGCCATTGTGGCTTCAATTATTGTTTACAAAGGCAATGGCTTGTGCTCCAAAAGTGCTACATTCTCACCTCTTCACCAATGAAATACACTCCTCCAGCTTGCCTCTCAGTGTCTGATTGGTTAGACTGCTGAGGCCCTCTGTCACTTTGAGCAAAGCTTGCTCCACATTGGTCCAGGAGGCTTTTGAAACATATCAGTAAAATCGGTATAAGACAAAATAAGATTTATCCTACTAAACTGAAAGAATACACATACAATGGACGGAGCCAAGACTTGGGTGAAACCGAAGCCCTCAGATATGATGTGCAGTTAAACATACCAATGAAATTAATTCAAATCAAATGCTACAACAACAATATGAATATATTGTTGTTATTTCAGTTTGATCCAAATAATATGCAGCCAAGCACAGGTAGTGATAGGAAAACCCCTTAGAAGATTCCGTAGCCCCTGACTGACCTTGGTCCTCCAGGCGTGCAATGTGGACCAGGGCCCTGTTCTTGGTGCTGTTCACCAGGTCCCTTAGCCTCTCCTGGCAGGCCCTCAGGCTGGCTTCTGTGCTGGCCGACGGCCCCAGCTCCCTAAGCCTCTCGCAGTACCAGGCACAGCCTGTCAGCAACCACACTACAATGCCCAGCAGGGCCCGGCAAAGCCCGATGCACTCCTCCGCCTTCCCGTAGCAACTGGGGTGGAGGGTGGGTTGGGGTAGAATTGAGGTTTGGGATTATTCTGGGGATTCTTTTTCAATATCTAAAGGTGACTTGACATCAGAAATGCACTCACTCTCTGATGCTCTGAGAAAATCCTTCGACCAGCAGACTCATAACTATTAGTGCTTTAACCATATTTAATAACAAATGGTAAATGGAAGGTATGTCATCTTTGTCAGGTTGCATCTCTTGATACGCAGCGCCAGGATGAAACATTTTCCATGGCTAACACCACTGCCACATTTAAAGGAAGGACTAATATAAAAGGATGCGTACCTGAGACGGTGGGAGAACATGTCCATAATCTCCAACAGGGACTTGATGCAGAGCTCTCTGGAGAAATCATCAAACTTGGGAAGAAACAGGGGCATTTGTCAGACAAGTTGTCCTCCGATGAAAGTATGCATGTCTAGTAGCAGTCAGACAGTTGGTATTAGCCAGAGAGAAAGAAAAAGGAGGCCAAACTCACCTTACTGATGGCTAAGAGGACACTTGAATAAGACACCATCTGAGGAAAGACAATGGTTTAAATTTGTAATTATTGTGCATAATAAATCAAGCCCACCAGCAAATCTTGAACACTGTCTTTCCTACTATGTGCAGAATATGAAGATTAACCCTTTAATATCGCTACAACCAAAGAATACAGATCGTATATGTCTATTTTGACGCTATGTAAAGGGTAAAATACGGGTTTCAAAATGTCAACCTTACCTGGGAACTGATGGCATACTTGAGGTAGGACAAGATGAGTGGGTTGGGAGAAGGGCCAATCATTGCCTGCTCCATAATAGCCTCTGGAACATAGGGAAATAAAGAAATTACTTATTTCATACCCTGAAATCATATTAATTCATTGTTTACTTTCCACTTCGCATGCATTTACATGGATGATCAACATAAGTCAGCTGACCTGCCAGGTTGAGGTAGTCCCATGTGGCTCCCTTTGGGAAGTTATTTTTGATGTTGATGGCCCACTGGTAGTCGCTCCAACGCTCCTTCCAAGCCTGGAGGATGGCTTGTTTCAAATTGACCACCTTCATACCGACAAGAGCTAAACACATTATCAAACACATGCATGAGTTTTTAGCATGTGAAAATGTCATAAGATGCATCAGCTCCATTATGTACGTTTTTCTTGGTGAAACTGTAGCCACAAAGTTGTGCCTAGTGACACTGCTGGTCCACGACTTTGATGCAAGGCCATGCATGTCGGATGCGCAATGAAGCTCGTAGTGCAGATCCAACACATGCACATGAACCAGAAGTAGTCTGGCGGTAAACAAAATGTTCAAAAGTAGTTTATTTCGTATTTTGGATAAATGACACCCTGCATACACAAAGAACTAGCTTATTCAACCGCAACTAGCTCTGTCCCGCAACTAAGGGACTCTGCTGCAACTAAGGGATTCTGGTTCTGTATCAGCGCTGCGCAATGTCCCAGAAGAATCCCTTAGCTAACAGCAACTAACGCCTCGATCACACCTACAGCGTCATGGTACACCTGAAGTACATTAATTTCGAATGGAACGCTGCGTTTGCCTTTTGCATTGCATTGAAGAGGCAGTTGCAGTGCGTTCTGTGTGGTGCATACGCTGGATTTATCGAACGTATGCCTCAAATTGTATGCGAAGACGGCTAGACAGAAATGGTAGCAGAAGGTGAATGTTGAACTTTTGTTGCACACATATCCAGATGATGCTGCATACCATTTTGCGTAGCTACGCAACTATACTGACAGGACATAAGCCCAATGATCCCAGCAGCATCCTTAGTTGCGGTCGAAGTCAACAGAGAACAGTTCGTCCACACACTACCAACATCTTTACATTGGTGAGAAGTCTCTTTTCACTATTTGGTGAGTAACAAAAGTATATTGAGGCCAGTTGCTAAACAAAATTCTGGATAAGTGATGTTGATGAAGGCTCAGCCGCATGTAACGCCATGGACCAGAGCTACTATGCATGCACATCCTACCGTACTGAGTGTGGCCTTCTAGCTAGATTGTTGTTGTTCACCTTGTAGACTGTTTGCAAGAAAGTTGTTCACGTATTACAATGTACATTTGAGACATATCTACCAACAACAATGACTAGCTAGCAAGCAGTCTTCCCCAGCAAAGTAGCTAGCTAGCAAGCTTACTGTTATTAGCTAGCTAGCTAATGTTAGCAATCTGCAGGCAAGTTGCACGACGGGCTTGCAATGAGAGCCCTGTTGCACTCAATATGAATACTATAATACTTAGCTAAATAGATACATGACCAGTTAAATTAATACTTACATGAAACGTCGACTGCATTGGGAAAGTATTCAGACCCCTTGACCTTTTCCACATTTTGTTACGTTACAGCCTTATTTTAAAATTGATTAAATTGTTGTTTTTCTCATCAAATCTACATACAATACCCCATAAGGACAAAGCAAAAACAGGTTTTTAGATATTTTTGCAAATGTATAAGAAAAACAACATTTACATTAAGTATTCAATCCCCTTACTCAGTACTTTGTTGAAGCACCTTTGGCAGCGATTACAGCCTCGAGTCTTCTTGGGTACGATGCTACAAGCTTGGCACACCTGTATTTGGGGAGTTTCTCCCATTCTTTTCTGCAGATCCTCTCAAACTCTGTCAGGTTGGATGGGAAGCATCGCTGCACAGCTATTTTCAGGTCTCTCCAGAGATGTCCGATTGGATTCATGTCGGGGCTCTGGCTGGGCCAATCATGGACATTCAGAGACTTGTCCCGAAGCCACTCCTGTGTTGTCTTGGCTGTGTGCTTAGGGTCGTTGTCCTGTTGGAAGGCGAACCTTCACCCCAGTCTGAGGTCCTGAGTGCTCTGGAGCAGGTTTTTATCAAGGATCTCTCTGTACTTTGCTCCGTTCATCTTTCCCTCGATCCTGACTAGTCTCCCAGTCCATGCCGCTGAAAAACATCCCCACAGCATGATGCTGCCACCACCATGCTTCACCGTAGGGATGGTGCCAGGTTTCCTCCAGATGTGACGCTTGGCATTCAGGCCAAAGAGTTCAGTCTTGGTTTCATCAGACGAGAGAATCTTGTTTCTCATGGTCTGAGAGTCTTTAGAGGTGCCTTTCGGCAAACTCCAAGCGGGCTGTCATATGCCTTTTACTGAGGAGTGGCTTCCGTCTGGCCACTCTACCATAAAGGCCTGATTGGTGGAGTGCTGCAGAGATAGTTGTCCTTCTGGAAGGTTCTCCCATCTCCACAGAGGAACTCTGGAGCTCTGTCAGAGTGACCATCGGGTTTTTGGTCACCTCCCTGACCATGGGCCTTCTCCCCCGATTGCTCAGTTTGGCCGGGCGGCCAGCTCTAGGAAGAGTCTTGGTGGTTCCAAACTTCTTCCATTTAAGAATGATGGAGGACACTGTGTTCTTGGGGACCTTCAATGCAGCAGACATTTTTTGGTACCCTTCCCCAGAACTGTGCCTCGACACAATCCTGTCTGGGAGCTCTACGGACAATTCCTTCGACTTCACGGATTGGTTTTTGCTTATGAAGACAGGTGTGTGCCTTTCCAAATCATGTCCAATCAATTGAATTTACCACAGGTGAAAAGTTTTAGAACACCGACTCATTCAAGGGTCTTTATTTTTTTTAATACTATTTTCTACATTGTAGAATAATAGTGAAGACATCAAAACTATGAAATAACACATGTAGTAACCAAAAAATGTGTTAAACAAATCAAAATATATTTTATATAGAGATTCTTCAAATAGCCACCCTTTGCCTTCATGACAGCTTTGCACACTCTTGGCATTCTCTCAACCAGCTTTATGCGGTAATCACCTGGATTGCATTTCAATTAACAGGTGTGCTTTCTTAAAAGTTAATTTGTGGAATTTCTTTCTTTCTTAATGCGTTTGAGCCAATCAGTTGTGTTGTGACAAGGTAGGGGGGGTATACAGAAGATCGCCCTATTTGGTAAAAGACCAAGTCCATATTATGGCAAGAACAGCTCAAATAAGCAAAGAGAAACGACAGTCCATTATTACTTTAAGACATGATGGTCAGTCAATCTGGAACATTTCAAGAACTTTGAAAGTTTCTTCAAGTGCAGTCGCAAAAACCATCAAGCGCTATGATGAAACTGGACCGCCACAGGAATGGAAGACCCAGAGTTACCTCTGCTGCAAAGGATAAGTTCATTAGAGTTACCAGCCTCAGAATTTTCAGCCCAAATAAATGCTTCACAGTGTTCAAGTAACAGACATCTCAACATCAACTGTTCAGAGTAGACTGTGTGAAATCAGGCCTTCATGGTCGAATTGCTGCAAAGAAACCATTAGTAAAAGGACACCAATAAGAAGAAGAGACTTGCTTGGGCCAAGAAACATGAGCAATGGACATTAGACCGGTGGAAATCTGTGTGGGTGAACGGATGATCTCCGCATGTGTATTTCCCACCGTAAAGCATGGAGGAGGAGGTGTGATTGTGTGGGGGTGCTTTGCTGGTAACACTGTCTGTGATTTATTTAGAATTCAAGGCACACTTAACCAGCATGGCTACCACAGCATTCTGCAGCGATACGCCATCCCATCTGGTTTGGGCTTAGTGGGACTATCATTTGTTTTTCAACAGGACAATGACCCAACACAACTCCAGGCTGTGTATGGGCTATTTTACCAAGAAGGAGAGTGATGGAGTGCTGCATCAGATGACCTGGCCTCCACAATCCCCCGACCTCAACCAAATTGAGATGGTTTGGGATGAGTCGGGCCGCAGAGTGAAGGAAAAGCAGCCAACAAGTGCTCAGCATATGTGGGAACTCCTTCAAGACTGTTGGAAATGCATTCCAGGTGAAGCTGGTTGAGAGAATGCCAAGAGTGCCAGTGATGGGAGGATAAACTGCATCGTTTACAGCAAATAATTTGCCAAGGATCAGAAGAGACAGAGTGAGCTGCCTGCTAGCCAGCTGCACAGCAAGATAGATGGACCTGTGTGAAACTACCCCATTCATAGACGCTAACTACTTTAGCGCCTATTGACGATAGTATCTTCTGACCGGGGGAGTTTTGTTAACGTCTTAAACTCTGATGCCCTCTGGTGGCATTTTCTAAACGACTCATAACATTATATACTACATTACGTTTACATTTTACTACCCTCATTAAGTACATTTCGGTTGAAAATAACGAAGTCCTACAAACACATGCTTAGTCCTGTTAGAAAGGTAATAACTGTGGGATTCTGATAAAGGTGTCAGAAACCATGGATACAAGGTCATTTGGATGGAGAAGGAAATGCATTGCTTTACAATGACCATCAGGGTGTACCCTTTCCATGCCAGGGTTTCCCTTAGGAAAATGTGGCGCCGGACAACGTGACCGGGAAGATTTTAATTTGTCGGCCATTTGAGAAATGTACCAGACCCATAAGCATTGGGTGCATAACCCATTAGGGCGTCCACCAACAGTGCTCAAAACGACAGAAATCACATTTATATTATGGTAATACATCTTAACAGAACATGCAAACGTCATTTTCAAACATTTGCCAAAATCCAAATTGCGGGAAAATCATTCTAAACAGCGCACCTGAGAACGGTTCTATATGTGACAGATGAAAATCTCTGTTAGAAACTTAGAAAGAGGGTGAATCTATAGATGCAACAACTAAGATGGGTTGCTAATGACTAGGATTGTGCCTTTGGCTTGGCTTCTGGACAACTAAATAAAGTTTATATTAATAGAACAGGAGAGAAATGGCATAGCGGTGTATATGGAAGTATATGGAAATACATTTGCCAAAATTATATAAACTGAACAGAAATATATAAACACAACATGTAAAGTGTTGGTCCCATGTTTCATGAGCTGAAATAAATGATCACATAAATTTTCCATTTGCACAAAAAGCTAATTTCTCTCAAATGTTGTGCACAAATGTTTACATCCCTGTTAGTGAGCATTTCTCCTTTGCCAAGATAATCCATCTACCTGACAGGTGTGGCATATCAAGAAGCTGATTAAACCGCAAGATCATTACACAGGTGCACCTTTTTTGTCACACAACACAATGC